TTTGATATGGCTCTGGCTTTAATTAGTCCTGTTTTCTGAGCTGATTGTCCTGCCTGTAGCAATTTTGCAGTCAAGTTATGGGAGGTGGGTTTCATCAACTCCAGTTTGGAATCATGGACCCTTAACTTCATTACCATGAAGTCTGTGTCCCAGGCCAGCCCTCCTTGTCAGACACCGATCAAATGGAGCTCCTTGTGCAGTCCATGCCTGCGATGGAATCGACAAATTCCTGGTGCATGTCTGTGAATCGCTCCTCTGTCCCGCCACTGCCTGTTTGGTGGTGTGCACATATGTGAGCCATTGCAGAGAACAGAGGGGCCATTCAGGTGCTGGGAACATTTTTAGAATAATGATACTCACTGGAATTTCACATAGACTTGCCTTTTAATTTATGACTGCGCGCCACTTTTGTCAAAGAAGGCATGTATTTACAATAGTCAAACATTTAAAGCTTTTGAAAAATGTTTAACTCTTTGGAGTTTAGGCTTTTGCTTCTCTTGAATGTTTACATAATTTAAGTCGTGGCCGTGGAAAAGCTAGACTGAAAAGAGAAACAATCCAACTGTACGCTAAATGATGTCATGATAGAAGATGGACAGTTCTGGAGACTGAGCACCTATAGAGCAGGCCTAGTCATTCTTTCTGCTCTGACTTATTTACGTATTTAGTCTTTCATTCATTCATCCTATTCATAGTCTCCCTCTCACACACAAACACGATAGAGTACAAAGGGGAAAGTTGTTCAACCTTTACGGTTCTTGATTTCCTCGCCTGTATAATAGGGGGTTGTTTAAAAATGTCACAATATTCTGGCAATATTTAGATATCATACAATATATAATATTTAGTTAATATAAAATAATAACAACAACCCAACAAGTCTTTCTGCCCACAGACCTTATTTCAAACACTCGCCGGTAAGAGGTCCGTTGAGGGCCCCCAAAACCAGGCTTGATCTGCTCTCTGCAAGAACTGGCCTGAGCTCAGCTGCTCCAGAGCTTTGGGGAAGGCCATGGCTTTCTCTGTGAGAAACTAGCACACTGAAGGGGGCTGAAAGAGCTCAGAGAGGGACCTGGGAGGATGCACCTACTTTTATGGAGCTCATGAGAGCCACTCTTTGTATTCATTCCTCTTCTAAGAGGCCAAGAACAAATTCTCACCCTCAGAGGTGTCAGTGTATCAGCCCTGGAGCGATACACACCCCATGAGCCTTTATGGGCAAAAATACAGGAACAAAAAGTTATCTGAGCTTCTCTAGGGGAAATTAGATTTGTATAATGATTGTCCCCAAATCACAAAGGGTCCTTCTCATCTCTAATGGTTTAGTAAAGAAATGCAGGCAGGCCAGGCGTGGCTCAGGGGTTGAGCATAGACCTGGGATCAGGGCGATTGGGGTTCGATTCCCGGTCAGGGCACATGTCCGGTTGTGGGCTTGATCAATGACTCTTTCACCATTGATGTTTCTGTTTCTCTCTCTCCTTTCCTCTCTCTGAACTCAATAAAAATATATTAAAAAAAAAAAAAAAAAAGAAAGAAATGCAGGCAGCATTAGATAGGATCTTTGAACTTGACTTCCCTGTGATGAGCAGGGAGTTTGGGTCCCGGCGCCAGGGCACCGAATGAGGACACCCCACTTAGCAAGAAACAAAAATCTCTGTTCCTCTTCAGGGCATGTTTCCAAAGTGGATTTTAAAACCATATCTGCTATTTCCTCGAATGTTGCCGTTTTTACAAGAATTTTAGAAATCTCTCAGAAGTCCTTGTCAAAATTTGGATTAAAGTAAAGGTAATGTATATAGACGTGCTCTAGCCACTGATGTCATATGGAATTCTTCCACTTGGAAGAAAGCCCTGGAGCACCACAAGAGTGCAAGATGTCAGGGACTGGTTTTTATATGTTTTGAAACATAGGAGCTTTGATTCCAATGTCTGTGTCATGTGCTAACCACATGTGACCTTAACCAAATATCACAAAAGCCAACCATAAATTAATCGTCAACCTTAATGGTTTCCTCATTTCAAAACACATTTGTTTTATAAGTTAATGCCCTAAGGCCAATATTTTAAGGTGACTACACAGAGTTTAAATGAAAAACATATCAGATATATATGTCTATACAACTACACACATTATGATTTCTCTGCCATTTTAAAAGTCAAAATGGAAGGAGAGGAGTTTTGCACAGACTTAAGTCCTGTACCTTTGCCACCACTGACAACTTCAGGTATTTTGAGAGTTTCACTTTCACTCTGCCAATCCAGAAGGACAAAGTTAAGTGGTAATTAGACTTTCTTGAATACTTTCTTTTCTTTACCAGCGTCTGTGTGTGTGTGTCCAAATTTTCTTTAGGGAAAAAAAAAAAAAAATCCATATAGAGACTTTAAGTCTTCTTTAAAAGAGGAGAGATGATTTTGTGAGTTATGAAAAGCTGATGTTTGGTTTTTAATTTCCTTTATTTTCAAGTTTATGATCCAAGTTCGTGGATTCTAAGACTAGCTCTCACTCCTAACATCTCCCTCCAGGGCTAGTGATCCTCAGGATAACATACCTTCCCAGCATCTACAGAGAGAGGCAGAGAAAGAAGGACAAGGCAGGGGAGAGGGAGGCGGGCGAACAGAGGCAGGTCCTAGCTAGAGCTCTCATCTCCCTTCAGCGAGAAGTGAGCTACAGGCTGGGGCTTCCACTCAGCCTCCCCTGTGGGCTCACAGAGATAATATGTTTCACTTAAGATACAGCTTCTGACAACATGTTGACTGTTAAAAAAAATAGGCAGGATAAAATTTAAAAGGAACACCCTTTTCCTTGATTTTTCCCCTTAAAATGTGTATGGAAACAAATACCAGGGACTCAGAGAGAAACTGTATATGAAGTCATGTAGTAAATGTTTTAGTCTGCATGTTAAATAATCTGACAGTGAATATTCACAAGAATCACGTTTTTAAATGTTCTCTATCTGTGTGCCTCAATACCTTTCTTTATTATTATTGCTCATTACAAGACAGTAACATAATAGTATAATTAATATAGTACAATATATACTTATATAAATTATTTATAATGATCTACTCTGGAAATGTAAATGATCACACAGTTCCATTGGAGTACAAATCCATTCCAGTATATACTGAACACATTTTGTATCATGCCTCCATTTAAATAAGAATAACCTGTTTCTCTAACCAAAGGAATATTTAGTGTAATAACAAAAGTTTTTACTAATGTTTCACTCAGAGCAGAAAATAATGAGATTTATGTATTGAAGTTTCTCTTTCTACTTTTGAATTTTAACATTTGACAGATATTTTGTCATAAAGAAAAAAGAATATTACAGTACCCAAATTCAGCATGCTTATTGACACTATTGAGGTGCCTTAGTAGATGGGAGTCAGTCCTTAGTCTGACCAAGACAGACCCTCGATAAAAGAGCCTCAGGTGTGTCTGCTCTGCACAGTTTACTCGGCACTTGCAGACACAGCCTCTCCTGGGCTCTCATGATGACCCCAACAGACAGAGATCTCCTTCGGAGATGATAGTTAGCGCCACGGGTCTTCAATCTTTCATTCTAGTGGGAGAGAACATGAGAACACCTGCCCCGTTCATTATACAGAAGCAGAATCGAGGTGTGGTCACTCCTAAGTGATGGGGCAGAGAACCAAGAAAAAGTTGGCATTGAGCACTTACCACCTCTCTCCTTAATGACCTGGAAGCATTTAAAAAACGGAGTGGGTGTATTTCTAAGGGAAAGTGCTCTCTGTAGGGTAATATTGATCATTCATTTTTCACTCGTTTAACATGTTATAAAGCTCCTGTTGGGTAGCACATCTAGTGCTGGGGCCGGGAATTTCTCAGGGAACAAGGCAAAGAGGCTGCTTTCCTGGAGAATTGACTCTTGTGGAATAGGCCAGGCAGGAAACGAGTAAAATGACTTCAGAAAGTGATACATTCTTTGTAGGAAATACAGATGGGGATACGGTAGTGATCAGGAGGCAGGGAGAAGAGAGAGAGGCTTTCGTACCCATGGTCAGGGAGGCGAGCCATCCTGGCAGAACCAAGCCTGGAAGCAGGGATGAGCTGAAGCAGTGTGGAGTGGAGGCCACACTGGGGGTAGAAGAGCGGGGATGGGGCGTCAGCAAGAGAGGAAGGCGCAGGAGCTGCCGTCAGGTTGCAAAGGGCCTCGTAGGCCATGGAAAGTGGTTGGAGTTTGCTCTCGGCACAAAGAGGTGCCACCAGTGTTTTTTTGTTAAGAAAAGAGATACGGTCTGATTTTTGGCTGTAAAAGAGCCCTTTGCCTACTGGGCAATAGAAGGGCAGGCGTAGAAGGGGAAAGGCCAGTGAAGAGGCTGTTTTAATAGCCCAGGAAAGAGATGATGGTGCTCTGCCCCGGTGGGAAGCAGCAGGCGAAAACCAGCCAGAGGCGAGATATATTTTGAAGGTAGAACTGACCGCAGGGCTCAACGTAGAGGGAGGAGTGGGGAAGGAAGGGGCCAAGAATGACTCCAGTGTCGTGGCAAGAGCGTGGGGTGCACGGTGCTAGCATGCAGGCTCATGGGGTGGAAATCAAAGGCTCACTTCTGATGTTAGCTCAGAGACGCCTGTGAGAAATCTAAGAGGAGCTATGGGGAAGAAACTAGACGTGTGAGACCAGAGCTTAGAGCAGGGAAGGTAGAAATTTGGATGCTACTAGCACGTGGATGGCAGTTAAAGCCATGGGACTGGATGAGAGCACCTGAGAAAGAGAGGAGGGCTCTACCCCTAACTCTAACAGAGCAGCAAAGTGATGTGAGAGTTGCCACAAGGAAAGCAAGAGAAAAACCATGAAGTTAAGCTACGTGTTCAGATTGGTGCAAGGTCCCCAGGAAGCCCACAGGGGAGGATAAATAACTTTATCAATTCTTAGATTGCTCTCCTCTTCTATCGCACCTGATAACCACTTTACCAAAATCACACACCTACAGGCACGTTTTTAGAAGCTACTATGTTACCTGCTTTAAAATCTTACCTTTGCTCCAGTGTCCCCCACTCCACGTAAACCCATTGGCCCAGGGGGTCCTGGTAATCCTCTCGGTCCCTAGATGGCAAGATAAGGGAGAGAGTGAGCAGCCTTGCTGTTTGTAAAGTTCGGAAGGAAGGAAGGAAGGAAGGAAGGAAGGAAGGAAGGAA